GATGTGAGTTCACCAATTATGCAGGCAAGTATGATTTCTTGAATTTTGTAATCATCTAAAACTAAATAAGATTAATAATTACTATAATATGTATAATCATTCTTTGTTTCAGGTTTCAGTTGGTACAAGTGAAGTTCCAATCAATCCTTGTGAAAATCAACCTCCTCCAAAAGCACCTACTATATCTATACCTAATGAATCCTTCAGTTTAAATAATGGTCATGTAGCAAAGACTTATATGCTTTTACTTAGGGTATATTGTACATCTAATGCTAGTTGCCTTACACATAACTGTGATTTAGATGGTTCGTAAAAATTTACATCAAATTACTTTAGAGGATACACCCATATAATATTTATTTATATATTTTTTCAGAACCAGCTCAGAAGCGTCGTAAATCTTCCACGGGTTCAATTAAAACTGGAGGGGAAGAAGTAAAATTGTATGGTTCTGAACTCATAGTGTATGATAAACATAATCGATGTTTACTCACAGACGGCGATTATGAGTTAGGTTTACAAGAAGTACAAACCAATATTCGATCTAGCCCAAAGAAGCACAGCTCTTGGGAGTCTGTACCTGACATCAAGGAGTGTGGTCCGTTTGAAGTATTTAGCAAGGGACCAACATTAAAATTTAGGCTTAATTGGACAACTGAACCAAGTAATGGCTTAGTTGATCGACCAACTCCAATACACCCCGTACCAAGCAGCGATAACAAAGAAAATCGATCAGGAAATAGTAAGTTATAAAATATATTTTTTTAACATATACTGAACAGAATAAGAAAAATAAAATCTTATACAATAATTTCAGCTGGTTTAGAACGTTCTTCCATGAATAATAACAACAACAACAATAATAATAACATTAATAACAACAATAACAACAACAACAACAATAATTGTACACTGCCAACACCTAGTCCTCTTAATGCTTCAAGAATGACAACACCTAGTGAGAAAACGGACACTTCCACGAGTACACAACAAATAGTGTATCAGTTCCTGTATAATAATAATAGTCGTCAACAAACAGAAGCTTGTGAAGATTTACATTGCCCTTGGTGTTCACTAGACTGTGGAAAACTTTATTCACTTTTAAAGCACTTGAAACTATGTCATTCACGATTTACATTTACATATGTGGTAAGTGCTTATGCTAAAAGAATATATATATAGACAATACAAAAATATTATTATATAAATTATACATATTTTAATAGCCAATTCCACAAGGTGCTCGTATAGATGTAGCAATAAATGAATGTTATGATGGCTCCTATGCTGGTAGTCCTCATGAATTAATTTCACAACCATCTAGTGTAGCGTTTTCAAGAACAGGGCCAACGAGACGTACAAGTGTAACAAATATTTTAGTATGTCATCCAAAAAGGACTAAACCAAGTCTTTCTGAATTTTTAGAGCTTGATGAAAATGAATATGAAAGCCAAAGACCTTATATTACAGGGCATAATAGGTACAATCTTTAGCTGAACTAAACATTATTCTTTATTGTGTAATAGAATATTTGATTTATGAAATTTTTTGTAGATTATATCATCATACTGTTACATGCTTACCCATATATCCAAAAGAAATGGATATTGATTCTGAGGGAGAAAATGATCCAAAATGGTTACAAACAAAAACAATGATGATGATTGATGATTTTACAGATGTGAATGAAGGAGAAAAAGAACTTATGAAAATGTGGAATTTACATGTCATGAAATATGGCTATGTAGGAGATTGCCAAATACCATTGGCCTGCCAAATGTTTTTAGAAACTAAAGGAAAGGAATTGCTCATGAAAAATTTATATCGTAATTTTGTTTTACATATGTGTAGTTTGTTTGATTTTGGTCTAATTAGTCCAGTGGTTTTATATCAAACAATTCAAAAATTGCAAGAGATAATGAAAGAAGGCGGTGAAAATAGTGATATTCGAAAAGTTTTACAAAAGTCACATGAAGCTCAAGTCGAAAAATGGCTTAGCTCTGGCTGTCAAGCACCTTCAGATGTTAGTAGACAAATTAGTACAAGTACTAAAGTAAATTTTAACACTGATGGATCGAATTCTAATGCGAGACGAAAAACTTCTTTACCACTTGGTTCGCCGAATTCACAACCCGTCAAAACGACAACACCCATCCATAATAATGTCAGTAAACATGCTAGTATGATGACTACATCGTCAAACAAGTCTGTAAATCATAATAGTACAATTCAAACTTCTATTAATAAAAATACTGGGACATTTACATCTATACAAAATAGTGCAAATAAAACTAGTTCCACAGTTTGTGCAACAAATATTGCAAGTAGTAAGACTCCTGCAGTGATTTCTATATCCAATGGAATATCTAATCAAAATGAAATAGGACAAAGACAAACCAGTGATATACCAATACGGCGTAAAAGTACAAATTCGATAGTTCAAATTTCAGAGAATACGACGCCTTTACGCCGAAAATCAATGGCCAGTGAAAGTGCAACTACCGAATATCATAGAAGAAAATTGATTTTAGATGCAGTACCGAATAGTGGTAATAGTAACCAAAAACCACCACACAATGGAAGTAGCTATTAGTAACCGTTATACATTGCTGTGCTAATTGTACGTTTTTGTACAGTATTTGTTGCAAAGAATATAATTGCAATTAGAATGATTGATATTATAGCTAATACTTGATAATCATTGCTCTAGCCATTAGATCAATTTTCTATAAATTTGGAAGTTTTAAATGTAAAAGTGAAACAAACGACAATTCATCAGATAAATACAGTGTGAATAATTTATAGTTTTAACTAAAATTTTTAAATAATTAAATATGAACAAAAGATTTATTTTGAATATACGTAACTGAGAAACTTATTTCGTAAAAATATAATAATATGCCCGTTCTTTCTTGGTCTAGTCAATAATGCTTTTCATGTTTTCAATTTTCTAAACATTTATTTGCTTAATAATGTACGAAAATCATATTGCTTCACATACTTATAATTTGCATAATTTGTAAAATGTAATATTTTAATAACAAAACTGGAAAAAATGAGAAATTAAAATAATTAAACACATTATATGTTAAACTTATGTGTAACTACTGTTCGTGAAGTAAGTTTGTCAAGGGCACTGGATAAATCTTATATATTCATGATTAAAGATGATAGATTATTCTTTTACATGATAAAACAGTTGTACCTTTTGTGTAATGTTAATTTAAATCATATAGATTAACAGATAAATTTAATAATATCTGAAGTTAATACGAAGCTAAAAAAAAGTAAGTACATAATCTCTTAAAAAATGGGACCTTGGTACAATTACTTCAGATAATTCTTCTAAATCCAATTTAATAAACTGAGGCTGTAAGTTATAAGTTTTACCCCAAAATAAGGAATAAACTGTTATAAAAAGTGCCTTTATAAAGCGAGAGAATCTGAATATGAGCGTGACTGTCGTCAACTCGTAACCTTTGAATTGAGTATTAGTACTCATTTATAATGTGTTAAATGTTTGTATGTTTTTTATTTGGCCAAGTTTTTTGCCGACTGTCGTTCTCTTAGATAAATTTATGGATGAAATTTAGTATGTTACAATGAATTTATTCTCTGTGTAACATACGCAACGTTACTGCCGATAATCGTTCGAAGAAACATTTACATTCCCGTACGTAGTACGTGACGTTTCTTTATAATGAAACTAGGTGAAATTTTTTGATATTGTTTGTCTTCTTAACAAGTATTGACTTCCAGGAAATCTGTTCTCTTCGAACGACTTTAATCACTGTCTATTATTATTATGCTAGGTTGTAAATAAAAAAATACAATAAACATAACAGCATCATAATTTAAATTGTTCATTACGTTTATTTGAAATTGTTCAAATTATTTTCTTTTATTTTAAGAAATGTAAATATATATATACATATTTTATTAGCGACTATTCCTTTTGGACTAGTCTGAAGTAGCTTTATTTCAGTGCGTATGTACATATATACATATACATATACAAGTTAATTTACAAATTGTAACATGTGTTTTAAAATTATTACAAATAGTAATGATAAACAAATGAAAAAGATATTTAAAAAATATACATCTTTTTATGGAATTATACGTATACTTTTGTTCATAATTAAAAGAAAATTATTAAACAAATAAATTTCTATTATATTACACATTCATATGAACATTTTTTAAAACTTGTCTTATTCTAAATTTAATTTCTACAATTATATGCATAAGCAATTTGTATATTTAATACTGTTTAAAATTTTACTTGTGTACATGAATGTACATTTCTATTTTCATGAGAATCATATGTTTTACTCTATTATATTTGAAATATTGTGGAAAATCTATTTTAATATATTCAATATGCCAATTAAGTTGCTTTTTTTTTATGCATCCTAAAAATTCTTCATACATGGGAGCACTAACATCCATATTGACTGTAGTAAAAACATATCTTTTCTCTAAAGCAATATAAACAACTTTCTGTGTTTTTGAATTTAAGAGTTTTGTTAATGTGTCAACAAATCCTTCTGTTACATTTTCATCATAAATTACTGCAAATATAAGGAGTCATCAATCAATTTGTACATTATTTATGTTACAAATATGTAAGTTTATAACTCACCATCTGCAGCTAAAATAACAGTGGCTTCGTTCATTCTTTTTTCATAAAATGTAGGCCACTGTAAGTTTAAAAAATCTAATTCCTTAATATAAACTTTAGATTTAACATAAACACCATTCCGCATAAAGTTACAACGTATCAGTTTTAATATCCCTTTTATGTCAATATCTAGCAAGTAACAAATACATTTACATTAAATACAAATAATATAATTCTTTAATATAATACCATTACAAAATTTATTACCTGTGCAAATTACTTTCTCTGCAAGAAAACTGGCTATTATACTAGTTAAGCCAACTCCAGCACCCAATTCTAAAACTATTTTATCTTTGAATAAATCAGGATTAGATAAAATATAATCAGCTAATAATAAGGCACCCCGCCATACTTGTAATCCAACATACTGTAATTCTGTAGATATATGATGTTCTAAAAAAATTAACATGCATACTTTTATATCAAACAAATTGATGTTTAATCATTTGTGCATTTTAATTTGTACCTATAAATAATTTTCCTCTTTGTTGCCTGTCTATGTCTATGTCATCATCATTATCATGAATTATAATATTGTTAAAGCATTCTGGTTTAATCATGTAAGATGGATACTTGAAAATAAAGTTTGATATTGCATCTAAAAATATATTATGATTATATATGTTGCACATTTATATTAAAACGCAATGTACATATAATACTGTAAAAAGATTAAGATAATAGTAAACTTACTACCATTTTTAATTATGTAAGCATTTTTATTTTCTGTAAATATTTCAGATGTTACTGTATATACTGTCATTTTTACTCATAAAAATTCTCTATTCCAATTATTTGCTTGCTTTAAATTTCTAAATCAAGTAAATAATGTTTTATAATGAAAATAATTAATTAATTAATTTCATATTTAAAGCAATAGTGCCCTCTACTTGATAACAGAAAGTGATAAAGCTTATTTAATATTTGAAATAAATATTTACTGATAATATAATTAATTATATGCACG